ATTTCTCCTTTCAGATTTGGAGAGTTCCACTAGGACATGGTTTTAGTTGAAAATACCAAAATAAGACCGGTGGTAAATGATGACCCACCGAAGTACATGAAGTTCAAGAAACTTCAAGATGTCTTTCTCGGAGATATCTGTACAGCGTACCCTGTTGGTAAGTGAATTATCTTTCAAATACAAGCGCAGATTTATAAGAGATTAAATAAATATTTTAATTAATACTAACCAAACATTTTTCCCTTAAATTCAAAGATGTGATAGGGCAAATTGACTACGTTGGTGTTCCTGAGTTAGTTCCAAATGTGTTGTTGTATGGAGAAAACACAACAAAAACAACATCAAAGATCAGGTTTGGATTAGAAGACGAAATGTAAATTAACTATTTTAAAAAGTATTTTACTACGAAAGAATTGAATATGAAATAAAAATGTCAAAATTTCAGGGAGCTTGGATTGATTTGTGTGGCATATGGTACGTTGGCTGATCAAATTAATGACCTATGCTAGACTCATGGAATTGTCATTGATATGGTCAAAATATGTGTCCTAACAGATTGGAAAATTATCGACATCAACAACGAAGGTAAAAATACAATAAAAAATATAATGATTTCTTTGTATATACATTTACTTAATTAAGCTGATTCTGTTCAATAGGTGAACATCAACTGGTGGGAATTGAAGGACCGTCTCGGTTTGAGGTGGATGTTGATATACCAGAGGTCAAACAGTTGAGAGAAACCATGTAAGTTAAATTCTTACATAAAACAAAGATGCTTTACAAAGTAAAAGAATATCTATCTAGCTTCTAAATATATTTTTTTAAATAATAGAGAGGAGAAAGTCCGCAATAGATATGACGATGAAAGCTCGGAAGATTCTTGAAAAAAGTTTAAATGCGGGTAGGAGCTGCAAGCGTGAAGAAGAAGAAGATTTCAATAAATCATGTTATTTCGGTTGTTGTTTTTTATATTTTTTAGAACACTTTCCTATTATTTATATGACTTATTTTCATTTCAAATTAATTAAATTATGAAACCACTTTGGACTCACGGATAAGTATTAAAAACATATATAATCACAACAATTAAACATAATTGAATAAAAGGAACACATAGTCATAAAACAGAAATTTATATAAATATTATTTAAGATTCTAGACATTATTTTTTTAACCCATTTTTCCTAAAGCGAATATATACAGAGAAGATTCTGAAATTGACAGTAAATTAAATTTACTTCTTAGCCCAATGACTTCTGGCATAATTAAAAATACTTTCAGAGACATGAGCAGAAAAACATTTGCATGCTTCATTAAAAAAAGTTGAAAAACGACTAAAATAAATAATAGAGACGGTCAGAGAAATGAATTAAGTCTACTATTTCAAAAAAAATATAAGAAGTCAATGAAATAATAATGACAATTTATGAAAACACAAGATTCATCTTCTCAAACAGTCTTTGTTTTTTCCCAATGTATACAAATTAATTTTTAAAAAGGAACATTGATCGAACAAAAAAATAGAGGAGAATAGCGATAAACACAGATTACAAACACAACTAAAAACAGAGAGAAACAGACTCATTTTCTTTCCAAAGAGAGAAGATTGTAATAAATCATTTTCTTTACAATTTGGTTTCTATATTTCAGAGACCTTTAATAATATTTATAAGACTCATTTTGATATCAAAATTTCAAGATTATGAAACATAATTTTAATACAGGAAAATTAAATAAAATGTCAAACATATTCCAAAGATAAACAAGATATTAGAAAGATCAAATATTATTATTATTACAAAAAATTGCAATTTCAAGGAATATCATGCCCGCGCTGGTCGCGGGCGATCCACCTAGTATTCATTGTTAAAGTTAACATTGATTCAAAACATTACGATTGGTTGAAGAAAATTTGTGCAAAAGAAACAGAAAACTAAATTAAAATGTGCAAATTTAACCCTTATTTTAATTTTGTGCAAATTGAATCCTCATATTAGTTATGTGCAAATCAAACACATATTGAAATAAAATTAAGTCGAAATCTCATAACCAATTCATTGACTTTTAAATGAAAATTTTCTTTTCCTAACAAATGAAGATATTTTCAAATTTGAGACTAATGCTTTGAAGTTTGAAAGACAAAAAAAAAAAAAAAAAAAAAAAAAATCTTGGACACTAGCCACCAGAGCCTTGAAAATTTCTAAAACTTCTTATCTAAAATTTCTGAAACTTTTAAATCGGACAAAGCTTCTAAATCTCGCTGGATTTATGAACTTAAGAAACAAAAATCATTAATGTCGTTGAGTTTTGGAGATACATATCACTTTTCAATATTAAGTGTGAAACAACCAAGCCCTTTAAAAAAAAAAAAAACAATTTAGCGGAAGTCTTAAAACCAATAAATTAAATAATAAATCAAACATCAGTATTCAGCGGACTCAAATAACATAAGTCAGTAAAAGAGTACTAGCAACCTAAACTCCATGTACTAGCAACTTAAACAATATAAAAACAGTAAAACTATCATCCTCTTATTCGGCCTAGATTATGCGATCACGTAAACCTTTTACCTTCAACGCAATACAAAATAGTTGCGTAAGTATTATCATAAATATTTAGTAAGTGGGATCATCCAACCTACATGCCAATTACGTGAGGCACTAGACAAATAAACAGCAATAAACAACAAACAGTCGAACAACAGCAACAAAATCACTCTGTGTCGAGCGACACACGAGCTCTGGTGTCGACCAACACCAACTTGGTTTCGCTCGACACCGACTTGCAGACCCGAGCCCCAAATCATGAAATCAACACAGAAACAGTAAATTAACAGGATTCAACACCCGAAATTGATCAAATCGCCGCCATGACTCAAAAACAGCTCAAGAACAATTCAATACCACATCACACAACAAAATCATAGTGAAACACGAGCCTATGGTCACGCACTCACCTCTAAAAACGGATTGAAAGGGGAAAAAGAGATGAAGCAACAAAGAACAGCAACAAACAGCTACAGATTCGCCCATCAAAGAACAGCAACAAACAGCTGAATTCAGCTCAAGTGGAGGCCAAGATCAAAACATCCCAACTCAACCAAAACTTGGAGATCACACTCAACTCGTATAGTGTTTGCCACGAAGAAGAACAAGCCAAGAAGGATTCCATATGAAAAAGATATTGGAGATACAATTTGGCAGATACATACGATCACTCAACGAATTATTATGGCCAAACCAGGATGAACCGAATAACAAATTAAAAAAAAAAAAAACTGGATTATTAACTCAACAGAATAAAAAAAACAGTGAATTCTTGACCAAATTCATTTTGGTTTAAGAGTTACAGGTGGTGTCACGCACGCTTGTGCGGGAATGAATTTTTCATAGGGAGATTTGTGAATATAAGCTAAAAAACTCCCTAATACACTTTTAAAACTTACTACCATGTAAAATGTTAATATGTATGAAATAATTATTTTTAAATGCCTTTTACAAAAACAAAAAATTATAACAAATGAAGAATAATATGGAGAATGTTAAACCATTTTTTATAAAAAAGATGTGTTAAACATATGTTTTTAAAAATTTAAACGTTTTCAAATATTCAAAGTAGAATTCATATTCTACTTGCTGTTCTATTTTCTAAAAATAGAAGAATATGATTTCTACGTTATTTTCAGTAGTCTACTAGAACATACGGTTTAACTTATGTTCACGTTTTTACTAGTGGTAGAAAATGTATTCTGACTTATGTTCAAATTTCTACCATTCAAAGAAAAAAAATTATACATATATTATATTTTCTAAGGTTTAGTAGAAAATGTTGTCTGACAATTTCACCGATTTCTACCACTCGTAGAGTACATATTTTGAAATAACCTAGACTTCACCATTCGTAGAGCGCATATTCTAGAAATAACACTAAATTATACCGAGTGTAGAAATAAAGTTTCTCCGAGAATCTGAGAATATCTAGACTAATATGGTAAGTAAATATTTAAAAAATGTTTTCAAATCTAGCGGTTTCCTTATTTTTCTCGTCTCACAAAAAAAAAGAAAAACATTTTATGTCTTCTTCTTAGGGTCAATGTTGATGTTTTTCATCATTTTTTTTGTGGTTTCTTGCTCTATCTTGTTCTAATAATGTTGCATATCTATGTAAGCTGTGGTGTATGGAGATGGTGTTCAATCAAAGGAGGGGATTTCATTGTTGCTGAAGAGAAAGGAGGTAGACTAGTTGTTATGGATTCTAGTACTACTTTGGATGAGCTAAAGATGATGGTTTTGGAAGACTACAAGCTCAAAAGCAGTGTCAATGCCGAGATCCGAATCCTCTCTTGAAAGAGAACAAGCAACAACAAAGTAATAGCAAGAAAAACTTTATTAAAGATGTAAAGTAAATCGCGGTCTCTCTCCTTCCTGAGTTACAAGGCTAAAAAGATGTATTTATATTGCTCTAAGTATAGATGAGCGGCTAGACCTAGGTCTAATAAGTCGGTAGTGTAATTGGGCTTGAAATGTGTGAAACGGGCTTCAAAAACGGCTTCGGGTCGACCGGACCGTTCGGACGGTCGGTCGGGACGTTCGGCCGGCTATCGGGTGATGATCGGCTGTCGGCAGGGTCGGGTCGATCGTGGCCGAGAGATTTTTCGTTTGTTCGTCGGGTTCGGCCGGACGGATGATACTGGTCGAGAGATTCGGCCGGACGTGGGACGAGGCCTTCCTGATCAGACGGATGGGTCGTGCGTGTGGCACGGGTTGTGCCGCACGGTCGTGAGGCGTTGCCCTCTTTCTCGCCCGGTGCGGTCGTGCGCGGCCTATGGTGCGGGACTATGAATGGGTCGACCGCGGGACGATGCTTCCCGGATCGGTACGTGAGCTTGGCCATGCGTTCAGGCGGGATGGACGGAGTGTCCGGACATTGGCCAATCGTGGTACGGATGTTCCTCGGTCGGCCGTTCCGCACGGTCTGGACGCCAATTCTCGGTTTGAGCCGTCTGGACCAGTCTTCACTAAATCGATGATAACTCCTTTTCTACTCATCCAAATGATGTGAATCCAATTGCATTGGAAACTAACTCACTCAGGGAACCCGGAAAAGTGGTCTTGATGAAATCCATTGAGTAGATTGTTTTTAAGCTCTTCCCAAAGTAGATGTGTGGCAGTGGACTGGTTTGAAGTCCAAATCCTCTGTTTTGCTCCATAATGCACCTTTTGACCTAAAATGACTCTTTGCAGTATAAATCCATAAAAACTACCTTTTAAGACAAGAATCCACTAAAAACCATTAGAAAACCATAGTAAAATAGCATAAAAGCATGTAAAATAGAGGTATATCAACTCCCCCAGACTTAGATCTTTGCTTGTCCCCAAGCAAATCAAATCTAAACTAGTGAAGAGGTTTTGAAAACACGAAAACTCACTTATCTTTTGGAACTTGTATCTCCCATTTCTCTGCTCTCTTTGGGACAAACCAACCTTGAAACTGGCTATCATGGACTGACCTTAAGCTTAGCAAACCATACCGGACCCAACAAATCTCATCCAGTATTCCAAACTCTCTATTACTAACTCCTTGCAGTATTTAAAGCGTGCGGTCTTTATCAAGGGAGTATTGATCACAGAGCATTGATTCTTACCCATCCAAGTCTTTGCCAAGATAGTCTTTCTTGCTCATTCAGTACCAAACCTCTCTCCTTCTCTCTTATCTTTGAAGAATCGATTTTTCCTACTTTTCTAGGGTATCATTTTATTTTTTTCTATCGATCTCCTTCCCTTAAGATTTCTCTTTGTGGGATACATGGATTGGCATTGAGCTTCCTCCTTGTGTATAAGGTATTCCATAAGACATGAAGGTGCAGAAGTATGCATTCCTCATGCTTACTTGTTTTCCTTGTGCTCTTAGAGCTTTTGATCTTTCTTTTGCAGATAAGAGAGAGGATGGACTGTTTCTTTTCTAGACATATCTCAACTAAACTCAGTGAGGAGTCGACTCACATGAATCTCAAGCCCCTTGACAAGAAAATTAAAGGTTCATTAAGTTGTGGAGCTAGCTTTAGATTGTGTGGGTACCTTAGAAATCTTGCCAAATCAGTAGGTCGATCCACCCTTAGAGGTTCCATTAGGCACTGTTCGGTGTAGAGAATTGACCTGGGTCTTCAATCTTGTAGAGGGTCTTGAAGGTGGCTGAACTTTAGCTTTCTCAAAAAGCTCTTTGATGTCTTGTGGTGTCTCCTTGCAGTTGTGGAAGAAGGTGGTGAATGGGTAGTGGCGCCAAGCTTGTTGGAATGACATGCTGGCTGGAAGAGTTTGGACAAACTGATTGAACTCAGCAAGCTTCTCTCTTGATATGGAATTGACATACCATTCACGTGGTGGTGTGGGTGGTGGAGATGATGGTTGATTGACTGCATGAGGGGCATGGGAAATCGTGCCTTCTGAAAAAGTTTGTGTACTTCTTCTTTGGTTTCACCAGTTGTGAAAAAGAACTCCACTAAATCATGCTTGTCCCAAGCTTCTTCAAAAGTGACATAGAATGGTAGTGATTTCACCTTAGCATTGAACTCTTTAAGCTTCATGGGGCTTATCTTGTTGGGATCAATGGGATCATAGCCAAGTATCTTCTTCTTCAGTAGGTGGTGGTCTTTGCATCACTTCCAATCTTGGAAGCTCAGAAGCTTGACTTCGTGGTGGTGGTGAGAAACGAGGGTCAGGGCTAGGTGTATCCTTGCTCTGTTTTGGAGAAGCATTGATGTCGATGCTCTGCTCTTCATCTTCATCATCAAGTTGTTCCTCATACTCTCTTTCTTCTTCTTCATTGTCCTCATGGACTTGGCGATTGTTGCCTCTTCTTGATGGCTTGCAGCAAAAAGGGAGGGAGGTTGGGTGTTGGACTCCTCTCTCTCTTGTACTTGGAGAGATGATCCTTCAAGGGCTTGTAGGCGGTTGTAGATCGATCCAAGGTGCTTGCTATTGCATAGCTAGGTATCTTCAATCTCATGCTCTTGTTGAGCAACTCTTGATATTTGGCAGCAACATCAAGTCTTAACTAGGTTAGAGATCGATCATGGTCTTCTCTAAGCTTCTTAATGTCTTCATCAAGCTTGATCACTTGCTTGAATAGGACTTCAGATTTGTTTCCAAGACTCTCATGGATGAAATCGATTCTCTTCTCCATCTTCTTTGTACTCTCAGCTTGATTTTCAAGTATTTTGAAGCATCACTTCAATCTTGGTTGGGCGTGGCTTGGAACTCTCCTCAGCAAAAGGGTGCTTGTTTATGTCTGGTGATGATGGATGGTGTTGTGAATAGCTGGGGCGGGTGGTGGAACATAGATGGACCTTTGCAAATCTGTAAAGGAAAGCTTCCTTGTACCTATTCCAAGTCTTGAAAGCGTGTTGGGCATTGAACTTCACCCATTCTTGGCTCGTCCAGCTAGTGATAGTTGGAACAAGTTGTATCTTCTTGGGGTTGTCTCCAAGACCATAGTAGTTGCAAAGTTGCTCAAAGTTGTATAGATGCTCCTTTGCACACTCTGAAGTAAATCATGGAAAGGGTCTCTCTCCACATGCTTGATTAGTTCTTCATTCATGATCTCAGGATGAGGTTGTATGCCTCCCCATTCTTCTTCATCACGCTCCACTTCAATGTGAAGAGTAGTGGTTGTACTTGACTTTGAAAGGTGGTCTCCTTGCAAATCTCTTCAAGAATGCTTCTCTAAAATCGATCCATGACTCGATTGGGAAAGCGGTTCATGCTGCGCCCAATCTAGAGCTGGTCCAGCTAAAGACATGCTGAATAGCATCATCTTCTTCTCAAAGTCAAAAACTCCATAAGAATCACAAAGATTCAAAGTGATCTATGTGCTCCAGTGCATACTCCGAAATAGATCATGGAATTGATCTCTCTTCACGAACTCGATCAGTTCAGGGTCAATCTCCTCTTCTGGTGTGGCTAGAAGGTGTTCTTCTCTGTATGCGGCTTGGCTAGACGTCTCCAGGTCGGCTGCTTCAAGGTAGGGAAGAAGGTTCTTCTTGGACTTCAAGGGAGATAGTCTTGGAGGACTATCCCAAGAAGGTGGTGGTGCTTGAGGGCTTGACATCTCTTGTTCGTCAAGAGACTCTTTGAGGTGGTATATGGCGAAGTGGGATCGCCTTTATAGGGTCAAGGACTTGTGAATCCTTTTCCATATCTAACTAGGAAAACCTGAAAAAGTTCAAAAACAAAAAGGAAAAACGAAATCAAAAGAAAAAGGAAAAATAACAAAAACTAAAAAGGAAAAAAAGGAACCCTAGACTAGCTCTCTTGCAAGAGCTTGTAGGTGCGAATTGGTCCCCGGCAACGGCGCCAAAAACTTGATCGCGGGATCAGGTCTTCCCTTTTCCTATCCCTGATTCTGCAAGTGCACAGGTCAGAAGTAGTAAACGGGTATCGAACACAAGGACCAGATTGCACACTACAAACTATGAGATTGAGATCGAGCTAGGGCAAACAGTATAAGATTGGTTGAGTGCAGTGAAAGTAAAGGCATGCAAGTAAAGTAAACAAGTAAAGAAGGTTGAAATCAATAGGAGATGAGGGCTAAGCAATAGGATAGTCTTAAGATAAGCAATTCAAGAAGCAAGGATCAATCGATTAGGGTTATTGTAATTAGGTGCCATCTAGAACTCGAAACACTATGGTATGATCTTTCCACTTTCGTGGCTCCGACCCCTTTGTTAATCTCCCTAGTCGCTAAACTTTTGGTATGTCCCTAGGTGATTAAATCAAGCATTAGTTCGATAAGTTCAATTGTTCACAACCTACAAGTAAATCAACTTTCGCAGTCTAAAAGAGGTTGCCCACCAAATACTAGTTCAGGCGAATGATACAACACTTTCGAGGCTCAAGTCAACCTTAGATCATATGCTAATTGGCCAGATTAACAACAAGCATTAAGTATAAGCAAAGATGAAGATTATAAGTAATCATGAATGCTATCCTTTGACTTCCCATCACTTAACAAATTCATATTCATAAGAACAGAGATTCGAATCCTCTCTTGAAAGAGAACAAGCAAGAACAAAGTAAAAGCAAGCAAAACTTTATTAAAGATGTAAAGTAAATCGTGGTCTCTCTCCTTTCTGAGTTACAAGGCTAAAAAGATGTATTTATATTGCTCTAAGTATAGATGAGCGGCTAGACCTAGGTCTGATAAGTCGGTCATGTAATTGGGCTTGAAACGTGTGAAACGGGCTTCAAAAACGGCTTCGGGTAACGGTCGGTCGGGACGTTCGGCCGGCTATCGGGTGATGATCGGCTATCGGCACGGTCGGGTCGATCGTGGCCGAGAGATTCTTCGTTCGTTCGTCGGGTTCGGCCGGACGGATGATATGGTCGAGAGATTCGGCCGGACGTGGGACGAGGCCTTCCTGATCGGACGGATGGGTCGTGCGTGTGGCACGGGTTGTGCCGCACGGTCGTGAGGCGTTACCCTCCTGCTCGCGCGGTGCGGTCGTGCGCGGCCTATGGTCGCGGGACTATGATGGTCGACCGTGGGACGATGCTTCTCCGGGTCGATACGTGAGTCGGCCATGCGTTCAGGCGGGATTGACGGAGTGTCCGGACGTTGGCCGAACGTGGTACGGATGTTCCTCGGTCGGCCGTTCCGCACGGTCTGGACGCCAATTCTCGGTTTGACCGTCTGGACCAGTCTTCACAAATCGATCATAACTCCTTTTCTACTCATCCAAATGATGTGAATCCAATTGCATTGGAAAGCTAACTCACTCAGGGCACGCGGAAGTGGTCTTGATGAAATCCATTGAGTAGATTTTTTTAAGCTCTTCCCAAAGTAGATGCTGTGGCATGGACTGGTTTGAAGTCCAAATCCTCTGTTTTGCTCCATAATGCACCTTTTGACCTAAAATGACTCTTTGCAGTATAAATCCATAAAAACTACCTTTTAAGACAAGAATCCACTAGAAAACCATTAGAAAACCATAGTAAAATAGCATAAAAAGCATGTAAAATAGAGGTATATCAACTCCCCCGGACTTAGATCTTTGCTTGTCCCCAAGCAAATCGAATCTAAACTAGTGAAGAGGTTTTGAAAACACGAAAAATCACTTATCTTTTGGAACTTGTATCTCCCATTGCTCTGCCTCTTTGGGACAAACCAACCTTGAAACTGGCTATCACGTACTGACCTTAAGCTTAGCGAACCATACCGGACCCAAGAAATCTCATCCAGTATTCCAAACTCTCTATTACTAACTCCTTGCAGTATTTAAAGCGTGCGGTCTTTATCAAGGGAGTATTGATCACAGAGCATTGATTCTTACCCATCCAAGTCTTTGCCAAGATAGTCTTTCTTGCTCATTCAGTACCAAACCTCTCTCCTTCTCTCTTATCTTTGAAGAATCAATTTTTCCCTACTTTTCTAGGGTATCATTTTATTTTTTCTATCGATCTCCTTCCCTTAACTTTTCTCTTTGTGGGATACATGGATTGGCATTGAGCTTCCTCCTTGTGTATAAGGTATTCCATAAGACATGAAGGTGCAGAAGTATGCATTCCTCATGCTTACTTGTTTTCCTTGTGCTCTTAGAGCTTTTGATCTTTCTTTTGCAGATAAGAGAGAGGATGGACTGTTTCTTTTCTAGACATATCTCAACTAAACTCAGGTGAGGAGTCGACTCACATGAATCTCAAGCCCCTTAACAAGGGTCTTGGGAAACAAGAGGCCAATGTTGGCCTTGCGCTTGTGGTGGATGAAGGGTGATGTGAGGATGTAGAACTCCTCGACTGTCACTTTGTTGGTCTCATTCTTGCATTGGAAGGTGGTGGAGATGAGGCGGTGCACATAATGGATTGTTGGAAGAGTGATTCTTGAGACTTTGGAGCGAGTGACAATGAAGGGCTCATTGGCGAAATGGGTCCAGTTGAAGAAATCTGCTGTCCGAGTGGGAGAGTTCTCCTTGAAGTCGTGCATACACTCATTGGGATCCGGATCGTTCTTTTTGTTCAGTCCAGAGCGATTTTCATTGTACGTGGTTTCGCCGAGTGTAGTCCCTTAAGTCCCCGGATCGACCGCTACGGTCGTCCCCCTGCAGTCTCGTTCGGCCGGCCTATACGACCATACTTCAACGGTTGGTATCCCGCGATCAGTATGAACAGTTTCGGCTCCTTTTTAACAGTACAAATATGCTTTTCCATTCTATCCTATCTGAAAACAAAGAAAAAAAACAAAGAAAAACAAAGAAAATAAAATGAGTCAAAAGTGTAGAATCAAATACTAAAAATGTTAGCCTATGGGTGTCCTCCCATGCAGCTCTTGTTTAAGGTCTTTAGCTTGACTGTGATGCTGTTAGGGCTTAAGACAAGGTGGTGACCCAAGGAATTTTTAATCCTTCAAGTTCTTCCTCCTTTAGCTTCGAATCAGGTGGATTTTTAACGGCTGGATAGATAATCGCTCCATGCTTATCTCTAGGCAGTGAAAAGTTGCAACGTATTTGCAAACTTTTCCTTGAATACTTCCATGTTCTCATTGATTAGCTCCTTTGGGAAGACGATTCTCACATTTTCAAAAGCCTTGGTTTGCTTTGCGTCCTTTCTGGTTCTAATAGCCCTCTTCTCCTTGGTTGTTCCCTTGGTTGTTTTGTTGGGCTATGCCGTAGTCTTACTCTTCGCTGTAATGGAAAGCTGCTTGGGTTGATAGATGGGATCTTCCTTGGGTGAGCTAGCGATGGATCTTTCTTCTGTTGGTTTTTGAATGATCTTCTCATCCTGCACTATATCAACTGATGGCTTTTAGGTTGATTACAAAGGGAAGAACATCGCCTTGTTAATCTTGTTGAAAGAGATCCTTTGGTTGGGGAAATCGAATATTGCTACAACAATTTCCATGAAAGGTGTGCCAAGGATGAGGGGTCTATGGTTACTCTCTCTCTCTCTCTCATTTCCGCTATTTAAAAATCAGTAGGTATAGAGCAGTTCCCTTTTCGCACCATGACATCCGGAATGAAACCGTAAGAGGTTTGCGAGAATGAGTAGACATAGTTGATGGAGATGGACGAGGGTTGGATGTTGGTGAGGCCGATCTTATCTGCCATCTTCTTTGACATGATTTTGACATTAGCTCCTGCATCACAAATAGAATCATCAAGGTTAGTGATGATAGGATTTTATGTGTGTGTGATATGAAATGAGGTGGAATGCAAACAGGGGTGAATAAAGATGAATGGTATGGTGCAATCACAATCAATCAATTCCTCTTAACCATCATAGTCATTGAAGTATAAGAGGTTATCAATCCAAAATGGGAAACTTGTCACTCTATGAGAATATGAAACAACCAGAAAGTCAAGCAAGCAGTAAAGATTTGAAGTAACACTAACAACCTAAAAAAATGAAAAGCAGTGCAATAAAAGTAAACAAAGCAGTGAAGTGCAGCTCGACCAAGACTCGAGTCGAGTAGAGCAAAGTACCAGCTCGATCGAGTTTAGGGACGAGTTGAGACAAACAAAGCTAAAGGTGACGACTTTAACAAGATAAAGAGAGAATTAGGGTTCAAGACAGGGTTTTGCAATCAAAGGAATCTACACTTAATCAATCTAGCTCTTAAAACTCCTTGTATCAAGGCTTCTCTTGATATTGGGCTTCTCAATGCCTAGCCAACCCTTTCCCAAGGTGAGGCTATCAACCAAGGAATGATCTCAGAAACAGGGGGTTAGCCAGTGAGAATCAAACCTTGGAGGCTATAGGATCATTGCCCAAACTAATCCATCCAACCCCTTAGACCTCTATTTCTAGAGCAAGAGATATTGGAGCTCTTAGTGGATCTTTTCCAGCGAATGCCATCACTTTCGTGTGGGGAGTCGCCTAAGGACTTACAAGCCAGGGGTAGTGGTCATGTAGCCTTAAGATCTATCCAAAAGAGAGAGAATCTAGATTAAGACCATAAGCTAGAAGGATTAAGCATATGAAACCTCTAATCTATCCCATCTCAAACCCTAATGGGTAACTACTCACTACACATGAATGTAAACACAAGCAAATGCAATAAAAGAGACATCATAAGAAAGAGGAGATGAAATTAAACAACTTTTATTGAAATAAGCAAGTGCAAATACAAAGAGATTATCCAGGATCTAGGATTCAAGAAGCAAGAGCTTCAAGAACACAAAGATGGGATTAGATCTCTAAAAAGTAAAAGACAATAAATTAAAAGAAACTAAAACAAAATAATCTAAAGCTTGGTGGTTTTTTCGTGGCTTAGAGCCTTTAAATACAAGAGGATTAGGTTTAGGGTCAAAGGAAAGTCAAGGGGGAAGCAACATTTTTCGGGTTTGACTTTGACTTCTCAGCTCGATCGAGTTGAAGCTTGGCCGGTCGAGTTGAGGAACTCGACCGGTTGGTCGAGTAGACGGTCGAGCTGGTCTTCAAGATGGCTTCTCCCTTCTTCCTTTGCGTATCCAGTTGAGCTGCTCCATGTGCCAAGTCCCTCCATGCTCCTCATGTCCCATATGCTCCAGAATGCTCCAAAAGACCTATTTCAAAGGACCAAACATGCATATGTATGCAAATGCAACCTAAAACTAACATGAATGCATAAGAAGAGAAAAGGAACAAGATATGATGCAAATGGAAGCTAAAACTATGCAAAAGATGCATAAAAGATGTGCTAAAACTATGTAAAATGCAAGTACATCAACACCCCCAAACTTGAACTTTGCTTGCCCTCAAGCAAACAAATAGAACAAGAAAGAGATGAGGTTTGAAAATAGCTGATTCAACACTTAAAAACATGTCCTCAAAAGCGATTTGCTAAATGTCCAACTTAGAGATTCTAGAATGCAACAAGGTGAGAGATATTCATTAAGATTTAACCATGCTTATCAACATCAATCCCACTTCACAGTCACTCAAACAATGCATTCAAATCAGCAAATCCCTTTAACATTCATTAAGCAAAAACAGTGAACCAAAAACATGCAAGATCAATCAACTCATTTGGTTTCAAGGGTTTATGGGTTAAGAGACAAAGAGGGTCTCTTTTGTATGGTGGTTTAGTAACAGGGATCTCTCAAGAAAGTGGCTTTGCTTTGGCAGAAGGCTAAGTGTTAGAACCAAAGATGATGCAAGAACAGCAGCTCGAGCCGCCTAATCCTAACTCGATCGAGTTCAACACTTAGAGCTTTTTAGAACAAAATCCTAACTACCCTTTTTGGCATTTCGCCTTTGAAACTGAGGAGCTTTGCTCACTTTTCTTTTAAGAACTTCCTAGGGAGAGGCTTCTTGAGGTAACATCTAGCGGTTTGGGATTTTCTAAACACTTAGGGAACTTTTCTTTCCTTTTTGACACTTGAGGCTTTGCCTTCTTTTCATTCTACTTAGAACCCTTTTTACTTCCTTTTTTAACTTCCCAAACCTTTACTAGACCCTTTTTAACACTGCCAACTCCCTGGACTTAACTAAACTCTTTTTCCTTTGGGTTTTTCCCAACTTTTACCACTTTTCTGGTTTTTACACCCAACTCGATCGAGCTCGAGTTGGCACCCCCAAACTTAGCCTGAAAACAATCCCAAGAGAACTAGACAACTAGAACTACTGCCCCTGCCGGTTTAAACACAACACCTTATGCTAAGCAAAGCCAAGAAAGGTTCTCACATTCGCACAAGAGATAATATGGGGTTTGAAATGAAAAGGCTTAGGTTTAAGGTGTGGTAACTGTCTCAAAGATAGAGATCAGCTATCTGGACAAGCAAAGGGATATGAAAATGGTAAAGAATGTCCAGATATGTATGTGGTAGCCATGAGTTGAAATCAAATGCAAGCATTGGTAATTAAAGATCAAGTTATGGTTCAAATAGATAGGGAAATGCATCAAATCACAGCAATGGTTGAATGAGATGTGCATGCAGTGATATGATCAAGATAAACATGGTTCTTGCTGCTCAATCAATCTCACCCTAATGCACAAAAGAATCTAAAAACAGGGCACTCAAGAAATCGCAAAAGATGGACAAGTTTTCAAAGTCAAATCAACAATGCAAGTGAAAAATGCAATCCTAAACAAGTCTAACAAATATGAATGCAAAAAGATGAAAATATTTTTGGATTTTTTGAAAATTTTATGATTTTTTTGGTTTTTCTATGCAAAAGATAAATGAAAAACTAAGAACAAAGAAAACAAGGTTAAATCATCTCTTGAACCCTCCCCCAAACTTAAATCACACAGTCCCTTGTGTGAGAAAAATTTAGTGAAAGATTCAAGAGGGCAAAACCAAGAAAAACAAGAACAAATGCAAGAAAATATGAAATGGTATATACAAGGGTTGGTGTTTGGATACCTCAGTGCCCCCAAAGAACTGGGAGACTAGGTCGTGGTCTGGAGATGGGAGACGGCCATCAGGAGCACTCCACTGCAACTGGGTTGCCTCGGCTCACTCGATCGAGCTTGCGGCTCCTCTTCTCCTCTTCTTCATCTTCAAAGTGTGTGGCTTCCTTGGCCTTGGTGGAGCTGGCTAGCTCGAACTGTTGTAGGGGTCCATCTCTGGGAGAAGTCCTGGTACTGGTTGATCGTACTCGAATCCGGATCTCAAACAGGGGCTCCTCCAGGTCAACTCGACCGTCAGCTCGATCGAGTTGAGTTTCCTCTGTTTGGACTCGATCGAGTCCGGTGGTCGAGCTGGAGCGTCTGGCCTTGGAAGTCTTCCTCCTTCTCTGCGTGTTGTCTTCTCCTTCCCTTGGCTCGAAAGAAGAGGCTCTGTGAGGCTCTTGGGCAGGGAGCCTCCTTGGAGTGGTGAGGAGTGATCTACTCCTAGGGAATGTGGGGGCCTTGGACTTCTTCTTCTTGCTTGAAGAACCAGAAACCTTCTTCTCCAAACTTTTGATCTTGCTCACCATCTTGTCCATGGACTTTTGCATCTTCTCAATGGCTTTCCCTTGCCATTTGTTGAACTTTTGGAGAAGTCCAATCCTCTTGTGGCAGCCACAACAGAGGGGTTCATCCTTGGAGCCTCATACTCCTCAAAGTAATAGCACTCAGGCTCACCCAAATCCGCACTCTCCTGGACCTGATCTTCAGCTCGATCCTCAGCTCGACTCAGCTCGACTCAGCTCGATCGAGCTCAGGCTCCTCTTCTCGCAAATCATCCTCATGCCCAACTAATGTGTACACAGGGGGTCTGAAGTCAATGTTCTCACCCCTTACTACTGTGGTGAGCTCTGGGTTGGGCAGGAGAAGCTTGGAGGGTCCAGCCAATGGATGTGTGAACTTGAATTGGAACTCCCATCCAACTCCTTGTGCTCAATGAGAAGGTTGGTCTTGCAAAACTTGATGTCCATCCAACCTGGTTCAGTGGCTCTCTATCAGTTGGGTTCACTCCAGCAGCACACAAGATAGGTGTGATGAGCCCTCCAACACTTAGCGCCTTCCTCGTTGATGCCTAGTGTTGTAGGCTGTGATCTTGTAGGTAGGAGCTGGTCAAGGAAAGGCATCAAGTTCCCTGTGTCAGATCTATCTCCCCTGATCCTCTTGCCATCCTTGTGCGTGAGAGAATGGGCTTGATTCCCATGTCAAGAAACTTGAGTTCCCCCTCGTTGATTGTCCCGGTCGCCTTCCTTGCAAAGAAGGTGTTGGCAAGTGCCTTGTGCACATATCAAGACTGGGCTCCTGATCTGAGCTGCCTTGGACCTTGAGGAAGAGTACACTCCATCAGCGATTGTAGCCCAAACCCTTTGGAGTTCCTTTTCCTTGAAGTTCCACTTGGTACCTTCTCCATAGTTGAACCCAAACAAGATTCCAAGCTGCCTAAAGGTCACCATTCTCTTCTCTCCCTTAGCCAAGAACGTGATCCATCCCAATCCTTGGTCCAAATCAGCTCTATCTTCTCTCATACATGTGGTACCTCATTGAAGCTAAGAACTCGCAAGTGAGCTCCTTGTAGGATTCCATGTGGTAAGAGAAAAGCTTGGCCAAGTGCATGTTCTTGAGACCAACTCCACATCCTCAAAGATTCCAAGGGCCTTCATTGTGTCAACATGTGGGTACTTGGTCTCCATGAAGTCCATGGAGAAGAGAGCATTGTAGTGCTCTTGGTACATGGGGAGCTCATCCTCCTCCTCTGTCGGCCTCCTCCATGGCTCATCTTGGTTCCCTCTTGTCATCTTCATCAACCAATTGGTTCACCTCTTCTCCTTCCTCTTCACTCTCAGTCTCATCACTTCCTTCTTCATTTGGAGACCATTTCCCTCCTCTTGAACAAGGTTCACTCCAATCTCAAACTCCCCTTGCTCACTCTCACTACTAATGGGTCATTCCTCTTCTTGGTTCTCCTTTCTTCCCTCAATCTCTCACTCTCAGACTGTCTCCTCAGAGTAGACATATCCCTCTGCATCAGATCTTCCATCCTCTTCCATCCTCTCCAAATCGGCTTGCATCTTAAGCCTTCTTTCCCTTGCATTGCTTGATTCACCCTCAACCATTCTCCTTGTGAAGCGCGACTTCCCTCACTGTTTGTCATCTTGTTACTGTTTCTTCACTAAAGTACCTGAAATGCATCAAAGATTACAAAGAATTAGAGTTGTAATGATCGGTTTGGTCAACTCGACACTCAGCTCGATCGAGTCAAAAAACTCGAGTGACAAACTCGATCGAGTAGGTGAAAACAGAGTATAACCAAACCTAATTCAAGTATTAAGAGCTGGAAAGGATGCTAATCAATCAAATTGAACCAAGAACAACTAGTAAATGGAACAATGAGCAATTCTAGTGAAGCATAGCATCTTAACCAATACCAAACTCAAATTCAATTTTCAAGCACATGCAACAAGTTTAAGGCAAAACAGAGGTGAGGTGAAACAAATAACAAGATTATACAGCAGAGGCGAAATATGAGCAATTACTCAAGAACAAGTCCACAAGGGACACATGCAATCAAAAATCAAAGGAAACAAGCAATATGAAATCGAGATGGAGAATCAAGGGTTTTAGGGTTCATACCTTGTTGAATGATGAATTGAAGAGCAGTAAACAAAACCCAAGCAAAACAAGAAGAAACAGAAATCGCAAAAACTTAAGAGAGAAAGAGATTGAAAATTTTTCTTGTGGTGATGAGAGAGAGAGAGAGTTTCAGAAATTTTAGAGTGTGGGAGAGAGAAGTGGATTCGATCGAGTTATGGGGAAGAGGGAGTGTTTGAGATGTGTGGTTGAGATTAAAAGATGAAATAAAGAGGGAACAAGAAAGCTAGGGATTCTCTGATCAATTAGGGTAGTGGGGGACCAAAATCAGCTTGTGGGACCCACTCCCTTGACCAAGAAAACGGTTATGAATTTGAAATTCAAAAACTTACCTCGGTCGAGTTGTGTAGCTCGATCGAGTTGCCCTGGTTTCTAGCTCGATCGAGCTGTCGGTCGAGCTGGCTCCTTTGACACCTAAACTTAACTTATTCAAAGGTTAAAAACATAAAGATAGATAGAAATTGCATAAATAGAGTATGTACAAGGATAAACATGGGACTTCCTCCCAAGTGAGCTTGTTTAAGGTCCCATAGCTTGACCTTTACCTTCTTAGGCATTGGTTGAGCTAGTCCCACCATCAAGGGTGATAGTGAGGACTTGAGACAGAAGCTCCTTTAGCTTGGTTGGGTCCCTGGACTGTTCTGAAGTCACCAAGGCCTTGGCTCTAGAGAATGGCCTTGATCTCCCCTTGTACCTTATCTTGTACTCAATCTTCCCATTTTCAAACTTGGTGGGGAACAAAGTCATTGTGAGCTGAGATGGCTTGATGAAGGGGCCTGAGCTGGTGGATCCTTTCTTTTATCCCTGGTCTTGCCTTAGAGGCTGCATCCTCCCCTTCTTTTAGAGCCCTTCCTAGTGGCTCATCAAACAAAGCTTGAAGGCTCTCTTCATCAAGCACACAAGGGGCTTGAACAAGTCTCTCAGCTCTTGGCCTATCAGATCGTGGTTTCTCAACTCTAGCCCTCTCAAGACGTGGCTTCTCAATCCTTGGTCCTCTCTCATCCTTATCCTTCCCAACTCTTGGTTCCTTGTCAACCCTTTCCTTCACAACCTTTGTAGCTCCATGACTCTTAGAACTGAGAGTGGTACTGTCAATTGTGGCACAAAAGTCTGAACCTCTAGGCTGCAAGCGATATGACACCAAACTATTCACCTTGTGAAGGATCACTTCTTGCTTGTGAAAGTCTATTGAAGCGCCAACTGTACTAAGGAAAGGGGTTCCCAATAACAGAGGCAAATCCTTCTCTTCTTCCATTTCCATCACAGTGAGATCAGTTTGGATGATGCATTCTCCAATTTTCAAGTGATAGTTCTTGAACACTCCAAGAGGAGACTTAGAAGTTGCATCTCCAAACATGATTGAAGTAGTAGGGCGCTGCAAGGCTCCAGCAATGCCTAGCTTCTCTGCCATGGAGAGAGAGATCAGATTGATGCTTGCTCCAGAATCCACTAAGGCATTGTCAATCTCAAGATGCCCAAGTGTGCAAGGGAGAGTGAATTTCCCTTGATCCTTGACCTTTGGTAGGAAGGTGGGTGAAGTAAGCAGGTTGAACTGATGAGTAGACTCTTGTAGGACCTCTGAAACTTTATCACTGTTGGCTAGAACATCCTTGACCATTTGCATTTGATCAAATGCCTCACTCATGCTATCCATAGGAGGCAACTCAATTCCAATCCCACTGAGATCTCTTCTGAACTTGTGAATCACTTCCTTGTGACCTTGACTAAGTAGGCGAGACGAGGAAGCGGCAACCGGTTGGTAAGGATCAAGCAAAAAGGTTGGGACAGAAGAGGTCGGACTCGATCGAGCTAGAGTTGGACTCGATCGAGCTGCCGATCGAGCTTGTCGTGCGAGCTCAACTGGTGAAGTGTGAATGGCCACAGTAGGTGCCTGCACTTCTGGTTGATCAATCTGGACTCCAGGAGCCTCAGCAGCAACAATCTCTTCATCATTCAGCAGTAAACAAAAATCTTCAATGACCCTTTCTTGATCCTCTTCTTCAACAAGTCCTTCTTGAGTGAAGATGACCTTGCACTGTTCCTTGGGGTTCTGAATAGCTTTACCAGGTAGTTGTCCTTGCTTTGTAGCAGCAGCAACAGAAGAAGCATGATTCTCCAGAGAGTAAACCCTTGTGTTGAGGTTCTCGATCTTAGAGTTTATTTCAGCTAGCTTCTTGCTTGTGTCCACTACCCCATCAGCTTGCCCTTGAAGTAGTTGCTTTAGCATTGCCTTGAGCTCATTCTCTTGTGAAGGTGCAGGCTGGGGCGGTTGGTGGGGAAGCCTGGTGGGATATTCATTTGTTGTCCAGGGAAAGTGCCTTGTGGTCCTTGGTAATTGTTCTTTTGACCATACCCATGTTGTGGCACCTGACTCGATCGAGCTGCTTGTTGTTGAGGATATACTTGGTCCTGAGGGTTAGCAACATCAGTGTTGCGGTATGACATGGCAGGGTTGGACTTGTAATTATAGTATCCTTTGTTGTAACCTCCTTGCCCATTGCTCATGTAGCACACCTCAGCAAATTGTGTATCCTCCCCTTCTTGGACTGGTTCCATCTCCTCAGCAGACACAAAGTTGACTTTCTTCATTGTGGACTGAGCTAGGATCAGCTTATCCAACTTCTCATTCAATGCCTTAACATCTTTTCTCAACTTTTCGTCTGACTCGATCGAGTGGTGGGTCGAGCTCCGGTTGGTGCGATCATACTCTTCTCCATAGCTTCCATTTGAGTTAGCTATGTTCTCCACAAGTTGCCAGCCATCATCTACATCCTGGTTGAGGAAGTTCCCATTGCTAGCTGTGTCTAGCATCTCCCTATACCTAGGCAAGCATCCTCTATAAAGAGTGGAGAGTAGTGATTCATTGTTGAATCCATGGTGTGGGCACTGACTTGTGTAGCCCTTTGAACCTCTCCCAAGCCTCTGCGAATGTCTCATTGTTTCGCTGGATGAAGCTGGATATCTCTCCTCTAAGCTTGGCTGTGCGACCGGTGGAGAAAAACTTAGCAAGAAAGGCCTTCTTGCATTCATCCCAAGTGGTGATTGTGCCATGGGGCAAGCTCTTCTCCCATTGGTGAGCTTTGTCAGCTAGAGACATAGGAAAGAGTCTCAGCTTGATGGCATCTTCAGAGACACCATTGATCTTTGTCAAATCACAAAGCCTATCAAACTCATCAAGGTGGTCAATGGGGTCTTCACTTGGCAATCCATGGAACATCTTGTTCTGGACAAGGTTGATCATTCCCAGCTTGATCTCAAAGTTGTGGTTCTGCACTGGTGGTGGAACAATCCCTTGTCTCTGTTGGTGGCGGTTTGGAGCATCTCCTTGACCAATCGGTCGAGTTTGCCTAGCTCGACCGAGTCCATTCCCAAAGGGTTTCCATTCCCCTCTGGTACATCCATTGTATCAGCAACAAGCACCTCAGGTTCCTCTTGTACCCTCTGTGACCTCTGAACCCTCTTTCTACCCGTTGTAAGTCTAGCTCGACCAAGTCCTCAGTAGACCGACTCGATCGAGTTCGCATACACCTGCAAAAAGAGACAAAAACCCAGCAGTACAATAGAACAGGGGTGGTATAGCTTGATCGTCCAAGTGTGTTTGAAACTCAAATGCAACAAAAATATTCCCAAATCGGCAACGGCGCCAAATTGATGATAGGATTTTGTGTGTGTGATATGAAATGAGGTGGAATGCAAACAGGGTGAATAAAGATGATGGTATGGTGCAATCACAATCAATCAATTCCTCTTAACCATCATAGTCATTGAAGTATAAGAGGTTATCAATCCAAAATGGGAAACTTGTCACTCTTTGAGAATATGAAACAACCAGAAAGTCAAGCAAGCAGTTAAAGATTTGAAGTAACACTAACAACCTAAATAAAATGAAAAGCAGTGCAATAAAAGTAAACAAAGCAGTGAAGTGTCAGCTCGACCAAGAGCTCGAGTCGAGTAGAGCAAAGTACCAGCTCGATCGAGTTTAGGGACGAGTTGAGACAAACAAAGCTAAAGGTGACGACTTTAACAAGATAAAGAGAGAATTAGGGTTCAAGACAGGGTTTTGCAATCAAAGGAATCTACACTTAATCAATCTAGCTCTTAAAACTCCTTGTATCAAGGCTTCTCTTGATATTGGGCTTCTCAATGCCTAGCCAACCCTTTCCCAAGGTGGAGGCTATCAACCAAGGAATGATCTCAGAAACAGGGGGTTAGCCAGTGAGAATCAAACCTTGGAGGCTATAGGATCATTGCCCAAACTAATCCATCCAACCCCTTAGACCTCTATTGTCTAGAGCAAGAGATATTGGAGCTCTTAGTGGATCTTTTCCAGCGAATGCCATCACTTTCGTGTGGGGAGTCGCCTAAGGACTTACAAGCCAGGGGTAGTGGTCATGTAGCCTTAAGATCTATCCAAAAGAGAGAGAATCTAGATTAAGACCATAAGCTAGAAGGATTAAGCATATGAAACCTCTAATCTATCCCATCTCAAACCCTAATGGGTAACTACTCACTACACATGAATGTAAACACAAGCAAATGCAATAAAAGAGACATCATAAGAAAGAGGAGATGAAATTAAACAACTTTTATTGAAATAAGCAAGTGCAAATACAAAGAGATTATCCAGGATCTAGGATTCAAGAAGCAAGAGCTTCAAGAACACAAAGATGGGATTAGATCTCTAAAAAGTAAAAGACAATAAATTAAAAGAAACTAAAACAAAATAATCTAAAGCTTGGTGGTTTTTTCGTGGCTTAGCCTTTAAATACAAAGAGGATTAGGTTTAGGGTCAAAGGAAAGTCAAGGGGGAAGCAACATTTTTCGGGTTTGACTTTGACTTCTCAGCTCGATCGAGTTGAAGCTTGGCCGGTCGAGTAGACGGTCGAGCTGGTCTTCAAGATGGCTTCTCCCTTCTTCCTTTGCGTATCCAGTTGAGCTGCTTCCATGTGCCAAGTCCCTCCATGCTCCTTATGTCCCATATGCTCCAGAATGCTCCAAAAGACCTATTTCAAAGGACCAAACATGCATATGTATGCAAATGCAACCTAAAACTAACATGAATGCATAAGAAGAGAAAAGGAACAAGATATGATGCAAATGGAAGCTAAAACTATGCAAAAGATGCATAAAAGATGTGCTAAAACTATGTAAAATGCAAGTACATCAGTTAGTATTATTAATAAGCATGGAACAACAAACTTTCCGCAGTTGTCTCCCTTTGGGATGTGATCTTTGGGAAAAGACGTCACTTTGTAGCTCTGTTGGACTCCTTTTACGGGTATGTTGGCTCAGGACATGTCGTGAGGCAAGCATGTTAAAGCTCTTCGTGGATTTGTTCAAGCGATTCCCCTTCATTCCCATGAAGAAAATCGCTCAAGATCAAACACACCATGGATAGTGGTTGTGTTGCCTTAGGCTTAGTCCAAAAGAGAGAGATTTAAGATTAAGTACATAAAGCAAGAGGGATTAAGCATAAACAACCCTTAGTCTATCCCATCTTATACCCTAAAGATGACTACTCACTACACATGGCGAAATACACAACTAAATGCAATGAAATAGATATCAAATGAAAGAGGAGATAAAGATAAACAACTTTTATTGAAATAGAAAAATGCAAATAAGCAAGTACAAGGTCTAGATCTTGGATTCAAAGAGCAAAAGCGCTAGAACACCAAGACTAAACTAAAAGATAAAAAGGGAAAAGTAAATTACAAAATTAAGCAAAAGTTGTCTCTAATTCGTGGCTCATGCCTTTAAATAGCAAAGGAAACTAGGTTTAGGGTCAAAGGAGAGTCAAAGGGAAGGCATAAATCTTGGGTTTGTCTTTCGAAAGCAGCTTGATCGAGTTGGGATTTGGCCGGTCGAGCTAGTGCTAACTTGGAAAAGTTTGGCCTAGCTCGACCGGTGGGTCACGCGGGTTGGTTGAGCTGGGCATAAAGGCACTACCTTTCTTCATCCTGAGCTGCGCGGTCGAGTTGAGTCCCATGCAGAGTCCTTCCTTGCTCCTCACGTCCCAAGTGCTCCATAATGCTCCAAATGAACATGTTTAAGGATCAAACATGCAAATGTATGCAAATGCAATTCTAAAACTAAAATTTATGCATAAGAAGAGAAAAGGAATAAGATATGATGCTAATGATGGCTAAAACTATGCAAAATATGGATAAAAGATGTAATAAAACCATGCAAATACATCAGCGTCTTCGATCGAGGCGGATCAGCGTGAGCTGGCTGGTTCGGTAGCTGTGCTGTCTGCAGTTGCTCCTGCTATCCAGCCTCCGAGTCAGCAGCAGCAGCCGCGGCAAGCAGCGCAGAGGCGGTTCAAGTTTCAGTTCTGGTTCTGGCAGGGGTGGTTTGCCTGCGCAGGGTCAGAAGAGGAGCAGAGAGGAGACTTCTAGGGTTAGTCAGATTCCTCGAGGTTCGTGTTACGGGTGTGGGAGCACGGAGCATCGTGATTCGAGTTGTCCCACGAGGGAGTCAGCACCGAGGGTGTGCTTACTACTGCAAGGAGCCTGGGCATATCAAGCCCATGTGTCCTAAGTTGCGGAGTATGTCGGTGGCTTTAGTTCAGCCAGTAGCGGCTCAGCCAGTGAGTCAGATTGCAGCAGTGCAGCTGTTGGGTCAGATTGCACCGGTGCCGCGGGGTTATTCTTCGGTGGAGACAGGGGGGACTAGTCAGACCGGGTAGAGCACAAGTAAATCTTCGACTCAGACTTTGTAAATTCTTAGTATAGAATTTTTGTTGTGTTGTGTTTGTTAGTCAGTTTTATCTGTAATAGAATTGTGGAGGTTCTCAACGCATTTGAATGTGTAGGGACCTTGTTAGTGGGCGGTTTTGAGTCCTACGTTTGTCTGACTCGGAGCATCGAATTGCTTCATTACACCGGAGCGTGCCGAGAAGAGTGGCATCCGGAGTAGCGCGGGCGAGAGCGCGGGCATGGTCAAGGTGGCGGGAGGTGGATTCTTGTCTACTTTGGGCCGTGCTAGAGGAGTCGAGATCGAGATTGCGGGGCAGTCAATGCCAGCAGACTTAGTCATCAGTCCGGTGGAGCTGTATGACGTTATTCTCGGGATGGACTGGTTGTCACACTACAGAGTTCATCTGGATTGCTACAGAGGTAGAGTGGTCTTCGAGCGAGATGCAGGGAGGTTGGTTTATCAGGGAGTGAGACCGACTTCCGGGAGTATTGTGATTTCTGCTATTCAGGCTGAGCAGTTGTAGAGCGGGGCTGTGAGGCGTATCTGGCGACGATTTCTATGTCTGAGTCAGGAGCTGGAGTTGTTATGGGAGATATTGAGGTTGTCCAGGATTTTGAGGATGTCTTTCAGTCACTGAAGGGATTACCACCATCTCGGTCTGATCCTTTCACGATTGAGTTAGAGCTGGGGACATCACCGATATCGAAGACGCCTTACAGGATGGCGCCAGCTGAGTTGGCAGAGCTGAAGAAGCAGATAGAGGACCTTTTGTCTAAGGGGTTCATTCGACCGAGTGTTTCACCGTGGGGAGCACCGGTGTTGTTTGTGAAGAAGAAGGATGGCAGTTTCAGACTTTGTATCGATTACAGAGGTCTTAACCGAGTCACTGTGAAGAACAGGTACCCACTCCCGAGGATTGATGAGTTGTTGGATCAGTTGAGGGGTGCTACTTGGTTCTCCAAGATTGACTTGGCATCGGGTTATCATCAGATCCCGATAGATGAGGCAGATGTCAGGAAGACTGCTTTCAGGACGCGTTATGGGCATTTTGAGTTTGTGGTTATGCCTTTGGTTTGACTAACGCGCCGGCAGCCTTCATGAGATTGATGAACGACGTGTTCAGGGAGTATTTGGACGTGTTTTCATTGTCATTTTCATGACGATATTCTGGTATACTCGAGGAGTCAGGAGCATGCGACTCACTTGAGGTTGGTTCTGGAGAAGCTTCGGGAGCAGAAGTTTTTGCTAAGTTGAGCAAGTGCAGTTTCTGGCAGCGAGAGATGGGATTTCTTGGCCACATTGTTTCTGCAGAGGGAGTTTCTGTGGATCCGGCTAAGATTGAGGCTATCAGAGATTGGCCTAGACCTAGTAGTGCCACCGAGATCAGGAGTTTTCTGGGTTTGGCAGGATACTACAGGAGGTTCGTCAAGGGGTTTGCTACCATGGCGCAGCCGATGACGAAGTTGACCGGGAAGGATGTCCCTTTGTTTGGTCAGCTGAGTGTGAGGAGAGCTTTAGTCAGCTCAAGGAGATGTTGACTACTACACCAGTGTTGGCGTTACCCGAGCCAGGGAAGCCTTACATGGTGTATACAGATGCTTCAGGCATTGGTCTTGGTTGTGTGCTGATGCAGGAGGGCAGAGTGATAGCATATGCTTCGAGACAGTGGCAGGGCAGTGAGCGTAACCGTCCTACACATGACTTAGAGTTGGGAGCAGTGATCTTCGCGTTGAAGATTTGGAGGTCTTACTTGCTGGGTGAGACAGTACAGGTCTTCATAGATCACAAGAGTTTGCAGCATATCTTCACTCAGCCGATGATGAACGCGAGACAGACGCGCTGGGTTGAGTTCTTGGCGGACTATCAGGTGAACATTAACTACCATCCGGGCAAGGCTAACCTAGTGGCGGATGATGATAAGATTTTATGGTGTGATGAAATGATATGAAATGATGTTATGAATGAGGTGGAATGCAAGCAGGGGTGAATAAAGATGAGATGGTATGGTGCAATCACAATCAATCAATTCCTCTGTATCATCATAGTCAATGTAGTACAAGAGGTTATCAATCCAAATGGGTGAGATGTTGCTCTATGAATTTATGCAAAAACACAGGGAAGTCAAGCAATACAGTAAAGACGGATAAATCTAACAACCTAATGATATGAAAATGCAATACAGAAAGTAAAAGAAATCAGGAAACAAACGATTAAAGGCAACTCGACCTAAGCCTCGACCAAGTTAGAACATAGCATTAGCGCTCGATCAAGTTGGGGGTCGAATTGAAGTAAAAACAGAGGAAATGCGAATGAAAAGCGGTAAAGATGCAAACTTTAAGCTATTGGAACTAAGATAGGGTCTAAGACAGGGTCTTGGGACCAGGGGAAGGTTATACTTAATCAATCTTGCACTTTAACCACTTGTATTCAAGGTATCTCTTGGTATTGAGTTTCTCAAGCCTAAGCTATCATCTAAGGCAAGATCTTAGCCAGTGAGAATCAGGCCTTAGAGGCAATAAGGATCATTGCTCAAACTAACCCATCCAACACCTATAAACTCCATTGCGAGAGCAAGCATATTGGAGCTCTTAGTGGACCTTTTCAAGCGATTGCCCTTCATTCCCATGAGGGAAATCGCTTATGATCAAGCACACAATGGATAGTGGTTGTGTTGCCTTAGGTTTTGTCCAAAGAGAGAGATTTTTAGATTAAGAACATCAAGCAAGTGAGATTAATCATAGAAATCCTCTAGTATATCCCATCTTAAACCCTAAAGAAGACTACTCACTACACATTTCACAAATGATAACCAAATGCAATGAAAGAGACATTAAAAGATAGAAGATATGAAACTAAACAACTTTTATTGAAATAAGCAAGTGCAAATACAAAAGGATAAAGCCTAGATCTAGGGTTCAAGAGCAACAGCTCAAGAACACAGAGAGAGGCTAAGGTTTTTGCAAAAAGTAAATTACAAAATTAAAGAAAAAGCAAAACGAAATTAAGCTAAAGAGAGTTTCTTTTTTTCGTGGCTACAAGCCCTTAAATACAAAAGAGATTAGGTTTAGGGTCACAGGGGAGTCAAAGGAAAGCAACATTTTTTGGGTTTGACCATTGACTCTACAGCTCAATCGAGTTGGCCTTGGCCGGTATAGTTGGCGAACTCGACAGGTAATTTAAGATCAAGTTTAAGGTTCAAATAGATAGGGAAATGCATCAAATCACAGCAATGGTTGAATGAGATGTGCATGCAGCGATATGATAAAGTTAAACATGGTTCCTTGTTGTTCAATCAATCTCACCCAATGCACAAATAATCTAGAAATAGGGCACTCAATAAATCGCAAATGAAGCTCAAATTCTCAATGTCAAATCAACAATGCACAACTAAAACAGAGGTGAATGATGCAATCCTTAACAGTTCTAACAAATATAGATGCAAAAAGATGAAAATACTTTTAGATTTTTGAAAATTTTATGTTTTTTTTTGTGTTTTTCTATGCAAATGGATAAAAGAAAAACTAAGAACAGAAAAGACAAGGTTAAATCATCTCTTGAACCCTCCCCCAAACTTAAATCACACAGTCCCTTGTGTGAGAGAAATTCATTGAAGGATTCAAGAGGCAAAAACCAAGGAAAATAAAGAAAAAAGCATGGAAAATGAAATGGTATATACAAGAGTGTGGTGTTTGATACCTTAGTGCCCCCAAAGAACTGTGAAGGAAGGTCGTGGTCTGGAGAGGGCAAGCGACCATCAGGAGCACTCCATTCGACCACATCCATGCAGCTCGATCGAGCTTGCGGCTCCTCCTCTTCATCATCAAAGAGTGTGTGGCTTCCTTGGCCTTGGTGGAACTTGGCTCGCTGATGTACTTGCATTTTACATAGTTTTAGCACATCTTTTATGCATCTTTTGCATAGTTTTAGCTTCCATTTGCATCATATCTTGTTCCTTTTCTCTTCTTATGCATTCATGTTAGTTTTAGGTTGCATTTGCATACATATGCATGTTTGGTCCTTTGAAATAGGTCTTTTGGAGCATTCTGGAGCATATGGGACACAAGGAGCATGGAGGGACTTGGCACATGGAAGCAGCTCAACTGGACACGCAAAGGAAGAAGGGAGAAGCCATCTTGAAGACCAGCTCGACCGTCTACTCGACCAACCGGTCGAGTTCCTCAACTCGACCGGCCAAGCTTCAACTCGATCGAGCTGGAAGTCAAAGTCAAACCCGAAAAATGTTGCTTCCCCCTTGACTTTCCTTTGACCCTAAACCTAATCCTCTTTGTATTTAAAGGCTCTAAGCCACGAAAAAACCACCAAGCTTTAGATTACTTTTGTTTTAGTTTCTTTTAATTTATTGTCTTTTACTTTTTAGAGATCTAATCCCATCTTTGTGTTCTTGAAGCTCTTGCTTCTTGAATCTTAGATCCTGGATAATCTCTTTGTATTTGCACTTGCTTATTTCAATAAAAGTTGTTTAATTTCATCTCCTCTTTCTTATGATGTCTCTTTTATTGCATTTGCTTGTGTTTACATTCATGTGTAGTGAGTAGTTACCCATTGGGGTTTGAGATGGGATAGATTAGAGGTTTCATATGCTTAATCCTTCTAGCTTATGGTCTTAATCTAGATTCTCTCTCTTTTGGATAGATCTTAAGGCTACATGACCACTACCCCTGGCTTGTAAGTCCTTAGGCGACTCCCCACACGAAAGTGATGGCATTCGCTGGAAAAGATCCACTAAGAGCTCCAATATCTCTTGCTCTAGACAATAGAGGTCTAAGGGGTTGGATGGATTAGTTTGGGCAATGATCCTATAGCCTCCAAGGTTTGATTCTCACTGGCTAACCCCCTGTTTCTGAGATCATTCCTTGGTTGATAGCCTCCACCTTGGGAAAGGGTTGGCTAGGCATTGAGAAGCCCAATATCAAGAGAAGCCTTGATACAAGGAGTTTTAAGAGCTAGATTGATTAAGTGTAGATTCCTTTGATTGCAAAACCCTGTCTTGAACCCTAATTCTCTCTTTATCTTGTTAAAGTCGTCACCTTTAGCTTTGTTTGTCTCAACTCGTCCCTAAACTCGATCGAGCTGGTACTTTGCTCTGACTCGACTCGAGCTCTTGGTCGAGCTGACACTTCACTGCTTTGTTTACTTTTATTGCACTGCTTTTCATTATTTTTAGGTTGTTAGTGTTACTTCAAATCTATAACTGCTTGCTTGACTTTCTGGTTGTTTCATATTCTCAAAGAGTGACAAGTTTCCCATTTTGGATTGATAACCCTTTGTACTACATCAACTATCATGGTTAAAGGGAATTGTTGACTGTGTTTGTGTTTGCATCTTACCACCTCATCATATACCACTGATTGCATTCCACCTCATCTCATTTCATTCTTTTCACATCCACACACAAAATCCTATCATCAATTTGGCGCCGTTGCCGATTTGGGAATATTTTTGTTGCATTTGAGTTTCAAACACACTTGGACGATCAAGCTATACCACCCCTGTTCTATTGTACTGCTGGGTTTTTGTCTCTTTTTGCAGGTGTATGCGAACTCGATCGAGTCGGTCAACTGAAGACTTGGTCGAGCTAGACATTACAACGGGTAGAAAGAGGGTTCAGAGGTCACAGAGGGTACAAGAGGAACCTGAGGTGCTTGTTGCTGATACAATGGATGTACCAGAGGGGAATGGAAACCCTTTGGGTAATGGACTCGGTCGAGCTAGGCAAACTCGACCGATTGGTCAAGGAGATGCTCCAAACCGCCACCAACAGAGACAAGGGATTGTTCCACCACCAGTGCAGAACCACAACTTTGAGATCAAGCTGGGAATGATCAACCTTGTCCAGAACAAGATGTTCCATGGATTGCCAAGTGAAGACCCCATTGACCACCTTGATGAGTTTGATGGGCTTTGCGATTTGACAAAGATCAATGGTGTCTCTGAAGATGCCATCAAGCTGAGACTCTT